TGCACCTGCTTATATGCAGGCATTACATTCATACACATAAAATAAAAATATTAAATTTAAAAAATATGAACTCACTGGGTGTGGTGGTGCATGCCTTTAATCCCAGCACTCGGGAGACAGAGGCAGGCGGATCTCTGTGAGTTCAAGGCCAGCCTGGTCTACATAGTGAGTTCCAGATCAGCTGGAGCTACAAGAAGCCCCTGTCTCAAAAAGACAAAAAAAAAAAAAAAAAAAAAAAAAAAGAACTCTAGTCTGTAATTCTAGCAACTCAGGAGACTGAAGCATGCAGATTGTTGGGAGTTTGAGGCCAGCCTGGGCTAAGAGTGAGACCCTGCGCCCCCCCCCCCACACACACATAAGAACTCTATGAGCTACTCAATTTTTTAGAAATATTTTTCAGCCGGCGTGGTGGTGCATCCCTTTAATCCCAGCACTTGGGAGGCAGAGGCAGGTGGATCTCTGTGAGTTCAAGGCCATTCTGGTCTACATAGTGAGTTCCAGGGCAGCTGGGGCTACAGGGAGACCCTGTCAGGAAAAAAAAAAGATGAAAAATGAAATATTTTTGAAGGTTTTCTTGTGTAGGATATTAGAGTTTTACAGTCAGGAGTAGATTTGGACTCTCCCACCACAAAGGATTTCTATGGCAACATGATTTAAATAGTCCATAAAGGGAACTTTTGTTTGATAATGAGTGGATGCCAGGGGCCTGACCCCTAGATGGTTTGACCTTAGATAATAATACGTCATGAAGCAATGAATTGGGGTTTTTTTTGTTTGTTTGTTTGAATGAAGATGGGGTTTCCTTTATTAAATAGCAAATGTATCATGGTAAAAAAAATGCTTATATATTCCTTTTTTTTTGGCCTTTTTGAGACAGGGTCTCTCTGTAGCCTGAGACTAAAGGCATGCGCCACCACGCCTGGCTACTTATATATTCCATTTTAAAAATTAACCTATAAATTGCTGCCACTTCTAAGCAGTTAACCAACAAAAAGTTGATTTAGGAAGAATTGCACTGGACCGAAGTCAGTGTAGTGTGTGTCCTCAGGAGGGATTGTTTATTTCTATCATGAAGAGAAACATCTTCCAAAAGAGGGCAGTCCCAGCCCCCACCTATGCTGTCATGCACAGCTTTGCATTTGGAAGAAAGAACCAGTCTGTTTTACACAGTGACCTTGGGTGAAAAAAAAAAAATCTCAAGTCACACTGTTAACAACACATAGTAAAGACTCAAGACGTATTTGAGAAAATGAGAAGGAAAAGACATGGGGTAGCAACAGAGCTTGAGCCTTTGATGACTTGGGCTTGAAAATTTGTTAGCCACTGTAAACCTCAATTTTTTTTGCTTATAAAATGAGAGAAAATAATTGCACTTACCTCCAAAATTATGATTATGCAGTGAACTAGCACATATAAAACAGTTGAACATGTGATAACTATCATAAGTATGTGCAATGCTATTAGGTAGCATAGTTTAATTTTTATTTATTTTTATTTTTTACATTGTGTGTGTATGTGTGTGTGTTTGTGTGTGTGTGTGTGTGTGTGTGTGTGTGTGTGTGTGTACACCATGGCACTAGGCTGATCTTGAACTCACCTGCTTCTGCCTCCCTAATCCTAATTTCTGCTTCTTCTTTTTTTTTTCTTTTTTCTTTATTATTTATTTATTTGTCTTTTTTGAGACAGAGTCTCCCTGTAGCCCCAGCTGGCCTGAATGCTTATGTAGACCAGGCTGGCCTTGAACTCACAGAGCTCCACCTGCCTCTGCCTCCTGAGTGGTGGAATTAAATGCATGCACCACCACACCTGGATAATCTTAACTTCTTAAGTAGACAATAGTTTTCTGCTTTGCTCTTTATTCACCTACTGTTATGTGATAGTGCACTTTTTTTTCTCTTCATAGTAGCAAGACTTAATGGGAATCTCGGTGAAAAAAGAATAACCCAAAATCCATTGTGTAAATCAGTTATATTCCCAGCAAATAAATACTGTCATGTGCAGACATGTGCTACATGCCTCTAACTTATTTTTCTCTTCTTCTCTGGTTAGTACCCTGGTATCGCAGTATAACATATGCTACCCATTAGTCAAATTAATGGGTCAAATAACTGTGACGGCAATAATTCAAAATGAAGTAAAAAAGATAACAATGGACCAAAGCAAATAAAAATCCTGCTTTTCCAAGGTCTGATATAGCTGAAAGAGAGCAAGAACTCAGCTTGTACCTACATACCTTTTCATGAGAGAATAGCTATATCTAGTCAAAATACAGGCCTGGGCTTTGAGCTGGCTCCTTAGAGGTCAAAAGTAGGCAAAATATTTTAAAAGCAATTGTAGGTAGGATATGAGCCAAGTCCTCAAGGGAGAGCTGAGTCAAATCAGGGAAGCCAGTATAAAACCTCAAGAAAAATAGGAGTAGTTCTTAAGTGTGAAGTAGAGCCAAGACTGAAGACCCAAGTGGAGATAATTAGAAAGGAAGCAAGCAGGAAGGGCACAAACACATCACTGCAAGTAGTCGTTGACTATTTCCATACTAATTTCCATACTAGTTACATGGCTATTTCAGATTTGCTTACAAGTGCAGTGGTGACTTAGCCAAAATTGAGTGGGTTAAAGGTGAAAGGAGAGTAACCACAGGGCAGGCAAAGAAACATTGTGCCTGGCCATACATAGGAAAAGTGTCAGCAGAGATCCCCGAGGAAGCTTCATACGGTTTTAAAATTATGCCAAGTTGGCTGAGATGTATATGAGATCGTGTAAATATACATGATAAATTGTACCCTGGAATGTCCTTCCACATGATAGAAAGTAATGGAACATTTTAACAGCTCTTCTAAGTAGGCTGTATTCCATGGCTATCCTGTGGAAAATTTACCACAAAACTAAAAATCAAATGAAGAATTCTTAGGAATCTGCTGTCTAGATGAGAACTTTCTTCCTTTCTGATGCCTGAAGAATGATGATAATCAAACAGTAACCCAGAAAACCAACAATACCTCTCTCTCTCAGAGGACTTTCTAGTTGCAAGCTACTTGGGAGGTCCCCTGTGCCAGTGTACAGAGGAACTGTTAAACCCTGGACATGGCTGTTGAGAGGTTCTGAACGTTGGTGTTTTCTCCAGAATAAACCTTGTAAGGTGTGAAGTACTGCAGGGTGGAAATCACAGGCAGAACTCAGTGCCTTTGAGCTCATGCTACTTGCTCACATTTCCTCCTCTGCTTTTCATATTCCTAGTAGTGACTGCATCCCATCTCTTACCAGCCCCAGCTCTGGTTAGGTCTCTGGGGCCTTTTGCAGGTTCTCCCTCCTTTCTCAAGTCTTTCCTGATTCCTCAACAACCAGCTGGGCCTTCTCTTTTGTCTCAACTTCCCTCCCTGCTTACAGTGAATTTTCAGCTTTTGTTTTTAGGGGTTATATTTCTTTTCATTTTGCTGTTGTTGATGATGAACTGTTTCTTTTTACATTTGTTCCTGAAAGTCAACATTCTACAAAATCATGTATTAGAAATAGATAAAGGTTATAGGAAAGAAAATAGATTTATAAATAGGCCACTTAAAATATACCTAACTGAAAAATGGAAATCTATATAACTTTGTAATCAGAGTACTACTAATACCAATCCTAGTGAGGTGTGGTGGTTTGTACCTGTAATGTCAGTACTAGCAGGCATAAGCAAGAGGAATACCATGAGTTCCAGGCCATCCTAACCTACATAGCAAGTACCAAGCCAACCTGGATTACAAAGTAAGACCCTGTCTCACAAAGCCAAAATATTATAATAATAATAATGCTACCATAGCTGAATCTCCACCAACATTTGCACATAGAAGTCAGTCCATCTTCTGCAGCCTTGCGGTTAAATTTTCTTCAGGATATAAAGTCCTAAAAATGTTTGTTGTTTTTTCTTCATCAGTTAGTTTGGAGTTTTATTTTTTGTTGTTTTTCTTTTCATTGCAGTGAAATATCTTTGTGTCCTTTGCATTTGCATTTGCTCCCCCAGATAGCTTAGCAGAGTGGGGAGTTCTAAATTATGAAACCATATACTGCCTGTAGGAAATGCTGTGTGGGATTCCTATCTTTTTTCTTAGTATATTGGTGATGTTTCCTCTTTTTAATTATGAGGAAACCTGTCCATGCTGGAAAAACAGCATGAGTCAATATGCCTTGTGTTAACTGATGCATGTCCATAGTTTTCAGTCTCATAGAGCTAAAGTGCCTTGTAGAAACATGCTTGGTAGCAAATGGATTATATCATTTCATTCCTCTGTATCCATTTTCTGTGAACTCACTGAGGACAAATATTGACTCTAACTCAGCTGTGTTTCTCCAGCAGTGCCTATCACAGTGCCTTCTGGGGGCCTAAAAAGTATTTGTGGCTTAAATCATGTGTTCTGCTGTATAATAAATATAAACATGTACCATGTAGGAAGGCCTCTAATGTGAGGATGATAGTCTAAACATGATTCATTCTGATTCCCTTTGCTTTTAGTTCCTGAATCTTCAGGTCCTAAGTTCTCAATCTTAGAGATTGTATGCTATTACATACTCATGTCTCTGTCAGCCATCTTGAAACACTGATACTTCTGGTGTTTCTTGGAGATTAAACCCAGCTCTATGTAAGTCTACCAATTTGTGTATTTGGATATGATTGGCTGATTAATCACTAGCACTAAGAGAAAGAATTTCACAAATCAGCTGCCATTTCTGTTGTGTGGAAATGGTATACGTTCCTTACTCCACAAAGAACAGGCTACTAGAAGACAAGAAAAACTGTTGTTAAATTCATTTTTTTCCTAAAGCAATTACAATGGGAATGTATTTTCTTATTTTTCTTACCTTGAATAAAAAGCATTTACTATTCCATAGTTGAAACACAACGATCTTTATTTCAACTAAGAAGTATCTCTACCACTCAGTAGTTATAAGATCATGAGATCTTGGACATTATACAAGAGATTACTCAAGCCAAAAGGATTAATATCAGTTCTGTCTCTCTTCAGAATGTGAAGAGGCTCCTGCAGAACCCCAAAGTCACAGAATTGGATGCTGCTCGTATAGTGATGCTGTACGCTCTCCATTATGAGAGACACAGCAGCAACAGCCTGCCAGGACTGATAATGGACCTTAGGAATAAAGGTGTTTCTGAGAAGTATCGAAAGGTAACCAGATGTGTGTGTGTGCCTGTGGCTTTTTTTGTTTGTTTGTTTTTGTTTCTAAGAGGGTCTCACTGTGTAACCCAGGAGGAACTTCAAACTTAAACTCTGCCTGTCTCAGCCTCCCAGATGCTAGAATTACTGGCACGTACCACCATACCCAATGCCAAATTCATATATTAAGCCTAAAACCCAGGAACCAACTCTGTTATATTATTAGCCCAAACATGATAAATCGTACTATTTGCAGAAATCCGTAATTCTGTCTCCTCATGTCCTCATTTCCTTAGTAAAGTTATTTTTTAATGAAATGAACTTCCTGATCCCTAAGCAATAAAAGACTCTTCCCCTTTTCTGCTTTTTATAGCTCGTGTCTGCAGTTGTTGAATACGGTGGTAAACGGGTTAGAGGGAGTGACCTCTTCAGTCCTAAAGATGCTGTGGCAATTACCAAACAATTTCTCAAAGGACTGAAGGTAAGATCTCTCTTCTGTGCTTTCCCAAGAAACAGTCAAAACCATAACTCCAGTTCCAGGGGGAATCCAATGCCTTCTTCTGATTTCCAAGGACATTGCACACAATATGCCTGACACTGGTGCACTTAGACACATGCAGGCAATACATTCATACACATAAAAATAATAATAGAAGATGGGTCTGCCCACATCAATTAAGTGGACCAGACAATTCCCCACAGGCATGCCCTGAGGCCCATCCACTAGATTATTCTCTATCAGGTGATTCTAGATTCTGTTAAGTTAACAACATATACTATCAGAGGGTGCTACGCCAGTTTTTTTAACTTGGGTTCAGGAGATCTGACTCAGGTCTTCACACTTGTGGGTCCAGCACTTTTCTCACTTAAGCTATCTCCCCATCCCCTAATATGTTCTTTTTAATGCACAAAAATTTGTTTTATGTAGCCTTATATTTCCTTATATTTTTTCATTTTCCTATGTGCTTACAATCCTTTTCTACATAGTCCTTTCCTTTGTTTTACATATTATTTAACATTTTCACAAAAGAATAGAATTCAATGAAGACATGATAAAAGATTCCAGTTTTAAAACTCCTTTTCAATAACTAGCCTTAAACTTAGTATTTTTGTAAGATTGGAACATTTCTGGTTAATTAAAATAATTTTCAAAAATCCTAAAATTCTGGGCTGGGGAGATGGCTCATTTGGTATAGCACTTGCCACTTGAACATGAGAAACCTAAATTCAGATCCCCAGCAAACATAAAAAGCTGAACACAGTGGTGTGTTCTGTAGCCCTCGCACTGGCATAGGGAGCAGAGATAGGTAGAACCCTGAAGCTCTCCAGCCAGCCAGTCTAGCTGAATCAGTGAGCCTCTAGGTCAGTGAGAGACCCTGTCTCAAAATATAAGATGGAAAGCCATTGAAGAAGACACCCAGGGTTGACCTCTGGCTTCCATATGCATGCACACAAATATGTACATGCACCTGCATGTACACATGCATACACATATATACACAAACATACATACACCATACACATACTATATATATCCTAACATTCCATTCACTCTATCTATGTTGTGTGGCATGTGTGTGTGTGTGTGTGTGTGTGTGTGTGTGTGTGTACTAATAGTAATATGAGTATTATTAAGTGCTATATTGTTAGTATCCCCAAAGTAACAGAACCATTTTCCCTATTTTAGGGAGTGGAAAATGTATACACACAACATCAACCTTTCCTGCATGAGACCCTGGACCATCTCATCAAAGGAAAGCTTAAGGAAAACCTCTATCCTTATTTAGGCCCCAGCACACTCAGAGATAGGTAAGGTAACAAAGATACTAGTAATAAAATTTTGAATCACAGAATAAGTCAGAGAAATTGAAAGTGTCCAAGATACCTATGAGGGGGGTCGCTGGATACCCAACTTTTGACCTCAAAGAAATAAACTATCATGTTGTAGAGAGGGCTGTGGTCGGGGGGGGGTTGTGGGTGGCTTCTGAGAACTGAGGGTCTTAGTCCTATAATTGTAAGAAATTGAATTTTGCCAGCCACTAGTGAACTTGGAAGAGGACTCCACACCTAAGATGAGAACCCAGCTATGACTGACAACCCAATTTCCACGTGGTAAGACCCCAAGCAAGGAATTCAGATCTACTTACCATTTACTCTGGACCCACAGAAACTATGAAGTTATAAATGATGTGGCCTTTAGCACATTACAGACAGTTCAGTTTTACTTAATAAAGTTCAAAGTAAGTCTGGTATTGCAGGCTTATAATCTCAGCTACTGGGGAAGCTGAGACAGTAGGCTTGTAAATTCAAGGCCTGCCTAGGCACAAAGTAAGTTCAAGGCTAGCCAGGTAACTTAGACCCTGTCTCGAGATTCAAACAAGTTTAAAAAGTGTTTTTTAAGTGAAAAGAGGGATGAAGAGAAAGTTCAGTGTAGTATGCTTGCCTAACATGCATGGGATCCTGAATTTAATCCTCAAGACTCAGAAAACAAAGTTCATACATAGTCTGAACAAAACATTTGTATGTTCACAGTATGTTTACTGTTCAAAATACACATTACATTCATGAAGCAATTTTTTTTGTTTTCTGATAGAATGGTATAGTGAGTTATGTTTTCACAAGTTTCCAGACTGAAACTAATCATTTACTAAATATAGGTTTAAAGTAAATTTATAGGGGCTGGAGAGATGCCTCAGCGGTTAAGAACACTGGTTGTTCTTGCAGAAGACCTGGGTTCGAATCCCAGCACCCACATGGCAGCTAACAACTGTCCATAACTCCAGTTCCAGAGGATCCAACAGCCTCTTGTGGCCTCCACGGGCATTGCATGACACAGGTGCACTTACCTACATGCAGACAATACACACATACACATAAAAAAAATAATAATAAATAAAGTAAATAAATTTATGTCTTTTCAGAGAGCTTATAATTTTCTCTGAGTTCTAAAGATTCCTTTATTTATATCAGAACATTGTGGTTTTATTAATCTACCAAATTTGTGGTACTTTGTTATATACCAAAAAAAACAGATTAAAAAAAAAAAACTAGAGTGGCCAGCAAGATGGCTCAGTAGGAAAGGCGCTTGCTGCCAAGCTGCAACCTGAGTCTAATCTCTAGGACCTCCATGGTTGGAAGGAGAGAAGTGATTCCTGCAAGTTGTCCTCTGAGCTCCATATACGTTCCTTGGTGTGTGCAACACACACACACACACACACACAAATGTAACAATCATAAACTAGAATCACTGAGAAAATAGGAAATGATCAGATAAATGCAGAGTGATTGCGCTCTGCTCCACCTTCTGTGGTTTCAGGCCTAAGATTCTTTTGATTTTATATATCAGCGTTACATGTGAATTCCCCTGCTAAGCTTGAGTCACTTACTTGTTTTAGAATAAAGAAACAGGTGTTTTAGAGGGCCTCAGCTCCCTGGATTCTGTATTTTCTTAGCACATCACTTTACTTAAGCTTTTTAAGGTTCAGTTCTCTGACATCTGCCATTTGGAGTTTCAAACATTAAAGCCAAAAATAGATTTGCTACTTGATTGCCATCCAGAGCAGGTTGTTGCTATTTTCGGTGAGGACTGGACTTTGCCAAATGTGGCCAGCACCCAAACTGAGAGACCTAATTAACAAAGGTTCTTTGTTTCAGAGGAGAAAAGGGTGACTTTCGTTTAGCTATAATTCTAATCCAGTGGTTCATTAATTTTAATAATAACAAAACTTGTCCAGAACAATTTGCTTAAACCAACCTGAAATTTAAATATAAACAAATTCTACCTAGTTAAAAATCCATTTTGGGGGGGGGTCTTTTTGAGACAGGGTCTCCCTATAGCCCCAGCTGTCCTGGAACTCACTGTGTAGTCCAGGCTGGCCTTGAACTCACAGAGATCCACCTGCCTCTGCCTCCCAAGTGCTGGGATTAAAGGAGTATGTCACCACGCCCGGCTAAAAATCAAATTCTTATATTTTTTATTTGGACCACATGTTGTAAAGAGCCTGACATATACAGATGAATTCTATTGTGTGCTTTAATGTAAAAGTTTTACTGTTGGTATATAAATCTTCTATTATTTCAGCCAAAAATAGTCTTAAGAGCCTTGGAAGTATAATATCTTCTATTTACAGTGAATTTCTGAAGAAGGAAAATGTTTTGAGATTTATAGATGACTTGTATACATTGTGTGACCTTTTTTTGTGTTTTGTTTGTTTGTTTGTTTGTTTAAACTTAGTCCCTTAAAAAGAAAATACTGTTAGCTGGGTGTTGTGGCACATGCCTTTAATCCCAGCACTCAGGAGGCAGAGGTAGGCTCTGTGAACTCTGTGAGTTCAAGGCCAGCTACACAGTGAGTTCAGGCCAGTTGGGGCTACAGGGAGACCCTGTCTCAAAAAGACCGCCCCCCCCAAAAAATCCAAGGTTTTCTGGCTGAGCATCTGGTGTTAAATTCTGAGAGTCATTCAAATAGGGACCTTGACATTAAGAATCAGAAATGTCAGCTGAATAAGAAAAATGAACTGGTCTGAGTTTGGAACCCAAGTTTCAATGAGTTTTCAAGCAAAGAGACTATGAGGTGAAGCAGACATGTATATGTATATAACACATTTCAAGAAGTCTTGCATAAAGGAGCAGAGCTCTTGTGAGTTCAAGAGTTAGATTCTAGATCATATTTGTAATCTGATGAGAGTTATCTAATAAAGAAGGAGAAATAATGCATTGTCTGATGAAGAAAAAAAGGAGGAAGAGCTGCAGAAGTGCTGCACAGACAGGATCCTGCACACAAGGGATTGTCTGACAGGAGCAGAGATGCTGCTTTCATTTTAACAGGAATGAAGCACAGTATGTTTAGATATTGTAGGTTTATAGTTTTGATGTAAGAACACGTGACTCTCATGCTTGAGTTTGTGATGTTACTTACCAGCCAAGGTAAGAAGTAAGATGAAAAAGCATTGTGGAGCTGTTGTCGTGTAAGCCAGGAGTGAATTGTACTATAGAAATGTGAGCAGGACTTTCGTACAAGGTCAAGTGCCTATTAGAGTTTATCAATGAAAGGGTATCCAGTGAGCTTAGTTGCATGGTTTTCAATGGCAATTTCTAGCTACACTAGGTTAAATGTGATGAAGGCAGGTAATTAGATCCAGCCAGGATTCTGAGAACTAGAAACAGGAAAAAGGTATTAGAGGATGAAAAAAAAAGTATTGGTGATTAGATTGGAGGTAAAGAATATTACAGTAGAGTATTGATATAGGTAAATTAGAAGTGGATGATTATTGGAAAAAGGAAATCTTGAACTCAAGATTTTATAGGTGACCAAACATCTGTCATGAAGAATTTTGAATTGTAATCATGGATGTGAGTGAGTACAAGAAAGGATCAATGGGATTTAGGAGACCGCTGTGTTAGAGGAGAAATCCACATTAATGTGGTAGTCTCTGAAAATCCTGAAAAGATAAGTAAGAAAGAGGACAGTAGTAAGTCAGAGCTAATGTTTTTAGAGAATAAGAATGAACAGGAAAGGAGGTCAGGAGGAAACAGTGCAGCTGCATTATGGACATCTAAAATCTTGGAAATTTTGAAGGAGAAATGGTCCGAATGAAACTAGTTGAGATACTAACGTATGCTACCTCCTGTTCCTGCTTAATCAAAGTAAGACTGCAGAGGACTTGAAAGAAAACTCTCCTTAACAATTCCAATTCTAAAAGTTTATCCTGTAAATAAATATACATGCACAAGTACACTAAGATATGTAAACATTTGTCAGAGCAAAAGCTGGGAACAAGCTAAATATCCATCAACAGTAGACTGTTTACTTAAATCACAGTTCAATAGTATGGATTCTTTTTTTTTTCTTTTCTTTTTTAAAGACAAGGTCTTAGGTTATCCTGGAACTCACTGTGTGGCCTATTCAATTCACAATTCACAATTCTCCTATGCCAGCCTCTTGAGTACCAGGATTACAAGCACACACCAAGCCCAGCAGGATTCTTTTTTTAAAAACAGCATAATTCTTCATGGGGCATATGCAAAACTTTTAAAGATATATTGGGTAGAAAAGCAAGATGATATAAAATCCCCTTTGTGAAAAAACTATAGAAGCATAAATATAGCCATATATGAGTATATAGAAGCATGTGCTTAACCATGAACATATATATAGTATATAATACTTAAAGGACTGGAGCAATGGCTCAGTGGTTAAGAGCACTGGCTGCTCTTGCAGAGGACCTGAGTTCGGTTCTCAACACCAACATGGAGGCTAATAACCAACTGTAACTCCAGTTCTAGAGGATCTGACGTCCTCTTCTGACCTCTGTAGGCACTGCATAACACTGGTGCACTTATATACATGCAGGCAATGCATTCATACACATAAAATATTTTAAAAATACATATTTGTATATCCAGTATGATTTCTGAACGAATAGATGAGAAATTACTAATTATTCCCTCCAGATATTGGTCCATTGTATCCATACATATCCTTATTAGCCATTTTATTAGGTATTATAATATTGAAGAATTATGTTAATCTTTAGAATTTTCATGTTGTCTAACATGGTACATTACAGTGAGTAAGCATTCAATAACTACTCATTAAATTATATAGATGTAGCACTTGATATGCCAAAATTTATCATTGAAAAATTTAAATCCAGGAATAAATTTAGCTGATAATACAGAAATTTAGATGGTTGTCAGTAGTCATTAACCCTATGTGAATTTTGACTCTGTCCCTGCTTGGTCCCACTATTAGCTCTGGCCTCTCTCTTGGCCCTGGTTCATCACATTGAGAAGACTTCGATTTTAGT